CGGGAGGCCCCAAGCGCTGCCTCGCTGGGGACATGTAAGAGTTTCGGGTCCATCAGCGGTGTTGGGCAAAGGTGTCACCCTCTGCGGCCGCGCACGGACCGGAGCCGCGGGAGCATGTTGTTTCCCGGAGAGCTGGAGCAGGGCGGTTCCCGCAGCAGGTTCCCTGCTCTCCACTGCCAAGTTGGCCACCTAGAGAAGCTGGGCCTTAAGGTCCAAAGCATCGGGCTCCCCAGTGGTGCTTCAGTGCCTGCATTTGGGGCGATCACAAGAGCGTGCCCCTGCCTGTCAGGGCACGTCATGCCCCCCCCCCCCCCCCTTTGGAGGGGGACAACATGGATGGTCCTCACCTCCAGCGTGGTCTCCACCTCTCTCACATCCCTGTCCTGCAGGCTTCCACCTCTCTTTGCTGGTGAGACTCAGCATGGTCCTTCCATTGCTTCAGGGAAGGAAGGGCGCAGAGTGAGACCCAGACAGTGTCAGTCTTGATGGCCACAGAAACTCCCTGAGACTTTCCAATGGAGAAACACCCAGTCACTTACTGGTGAGGCCAGACAACTTGTGAGTGAGGCTGGTTTCACCACAAGGCCAATAGGTCCAGACTTTGGTGCAGGCTTGGCACAGGCATGTGCTGCAGCTGTCAGCGGGGCGTATTCAGCAAAACATTGGTGGTAGTGGTAAAGACTGCAGAGGAAGCCAGCCAAGGATGTATTTCCCAATCACAGATTTACCCCTGTGACCTCCAGTCCTGCCTCCTTCTGCTCTGGGCTCTGGGCACTTTAGAGCAGAAGCTCCCCGAGAAGCTCCTCGAAGGAGACCCACACATGGAGGAGCCCAGCACAGCCACGCTGGCATCTAGGCGTTTGGTTTCAGATGGGGTCTCTGCTGCAGACTTTCAGTGGTGCTCTCGCGGAGCTTGGCTTGAATGAGCTTCCGGTGAGTAGGACTCAGCACCCCAGCTTCCAGCAGGTCCTGCTCAGTGATGTCTCTGTACAGTGGGGTGAGAGAGAAAGCAACTGTGGGGAAGCAAGCAAGATGATGCAGGGAAACAGCATCCTCAAAAGTCAAGGGGATCCAGAAGGAATTGGGGACTTGATCGGTTAATGGCCTCCTCGTCTGCACTCTATTCTGCATACATCCCCTTTGCTCCCCCTCCAGGCTTGTGGCTCACCAGGGACCTAGGGGACACAGGAACTGGCCTGACCTGCTCCACTACTGCTTTGGCACTTGGGGACCGATTGCACCTGTCCTGTGCCCCTCTATGAGTGCCAGGACTTGGGGGATACCTGAAGAACTCAAGGTCATCCCAGCCATTTTCATACAGCCCGTCCTTGTATTGCTCCAAGCCAAGGTGACTGAGCCACACGCCGATGCTGCGGGAGCGGTCACCTCTGTCGCAGGGCCACTAGGGAAAAGGCTCCAGCAGTGTCACAATAGAGGACCACGACGTGGCCACCCTCATTTCCCCAATCCGTATGAAGCAGGACCCGGGCACTGCTGCTCCTCTGCCTTCCCTCCCTATCCCGCTGCTCCGGCAGGGCAGAGAAACCCCAGGAGGCCAGCGCCCTGGCTTTGCCGGTGGCCTCATGTCCAAAAGCAGGTCACCAAGATGAGCTCCCCTGCCCTCCCTGATCCTTGCAGCGCTGCGCGCAGCCAGGCGGTACCTCCTTGGCCTGACCATGCCACTGGGTGTCCTGCGCGGGCCCCAGCACCTCGGGGCAGCGCCGCGGCAGCGGCTCC